TCATGTCTCATGTGTTCTCTTTTTTAAAAATCTGGATTACTTCAAACATTTAAGAAAACATTCCATGCTATGTGCCATTTAAGGTATTTAGTACGTAGTAGGTATTTAATAAATGCTTGTTGATTGATTTATTGATTAGGAGTGAAAGAATGACGAAGAACATGAGGAAGAAAGAGTGATGCAGCTTGAGGTCAGAGGCATAGAAAACCCATTAAACAATTTAGGTGGCACAGTGCTTTGAACACTGGACCTGACTTGGGAGGACCTGAGTTCCAGTCCAGCTTCAGACAGTCACTAGCTTTGTGACCCTGGGCAAGTCACTTAACGTCTATCTGCTTCAGTTTCCTCAACTGTAAAATGATGATTACACGAGCACCCACCTCACAGAATTGTCACAAGGATTAAATGAGTTACCTGTAAAGTGCTTAACACAGTGCCTGGCATATTGTACGTAGTTAATAAGTGCTTTTTCCCTTCCTTTCCCCACTGGCTCTAGCTCTGGTCCTGGCCTAGATATTACATAGTTGTGGGAACTTCTCTCATATCTTTATAGAGCACTTATCTCTGACCTGCTTAAGAGAAAACTCTTTGGGCTTCAAGTTTCTGTAGAAAGATGAGGCTATAGATAGTCTCAAGAAATGCCTTTTATAATAGATAAAAATTAAATTTTAAAACACTTAAAATTTTATTTCTCAGAAAAAAATACATAGTAATTTTTTTCCATTCTCATTTGTTTCAGTATTGTAGCTAAAAGTCTGTAACATCCAGAAAATTAAAAATTTGTTTTAGGTGCCTTCCACTGTAGACATTAATGATATTAGACAAGTATGGTTAGATGTATCCCCAGTTTATCATTGTTTTTATTTGCTTTTGTTTTATCTTTTGAGTATATTGTTGTTATTGTTTTGAATTCTTTTTATTTTTGAGTCCCTGAAGGTGACATTTGTGTTTCTTGTAGGTAAGTCCATCCAATCATAGACTCCTGTTTGAAGTATTTGATGAAAACAGATTGGTAAGTTTTGACCTTCAACTCCCCACCATCCCCCTCCCCAAACAATTATCTTAATGTGAAAATTGCATCTTTTTTATGGTATACCAAAACATATTTGAATAGTTGTGTGTATTTGTTTATGTATTTAGAATTTTTTTTTATTTTTGGTTCTGGACCTCTGGTTTTATCAGTGTAGGAAATTGCCCGACATAGAAAATTCATCCACCAATGCAGATGGTCAATTCGTCTGTAATTTATAATCCTAAATAATTGTTTGGCTCACTGAAAGATTAAGTGGCTTGTCTATGGCTCACACAGATAATATGTGCAGAAGAAAGACTTGGACCCAGGTCTTTGGACCTAGATCATTCTGAATCTCAATGTATTCGACTTTCAGCCATCTATACTCATTAACATGTGTATGGCATGGGTCAGAGCAGTTTATATAGTAATATCCAGATATTTTTAAAAATTTAAATATTTCTCATCTATATTTGTGCTAATTATGTGTTAGAGGCACAGGAGAAGATTGATGCTATTTGTGCATGTGTGTGTTTTTTCTCCCAGTAAGTAAAAATAAAACCCCTTAATGTTAGCATAGACTCTTTATGTGCTGATGTTTGGTATACAGAATGGTGGTATAAGTTATGGTTAAGAATTACTCATTATATGTAAACTAACTTTGTGGAATTCCAAAGTATACATGTCTACATGGCTTTTCTTTATGTAAAATAGTTAAAGATGTATCTAACAATTTGAAAAGAGGGATGGATTGTCTTATGAGAGGAAAAAAAACAACTTTTTTTCATGACAGTTCTTTTAAAAGTGTTTTGTTATTGTTGTTCAGTGGTTTTTTCGTTGTGTCCAACTCTCTGTGACCGCATTTGGGATTTTCTTGGCAGAGATACTGGAGTGGTTTGCTATTTCCTTCTGCAGATCATTTTACAAACTAAAACAAACCAGGTTAAGTGACTTGCCTAGGGTCATGCAGCTAGTAAGTGTCAGGCCAGATTTGAACTCTGGAAGATGAGTCTTTCCTGACTCTAGATTTGGTACTCTATCCACTGCACCACCTAGGTCCCCCCCAAAGATGGTTAGTTGTCTCCTTTAAAGTATAGAAGGAAAACTTCTATCTGGAATGCTTAGTTAAAATAGCCTAAAGATAACAATTAGAGGGGGAAAGTGCAAAAAGAGGGCCAGCTTTTCAATTTGAGATTTTGTTTCCTCATTTTGCTTAAATGGGGAAAATACATTATACAGCTAAGTAGATCCTTTGAAAGGGGAAGAAAAGACCATTATTACAAGCATACCATGTATGGCAATCCCCACAATCATATGCCAGAAAAATCAGTTTACCAGGGTTCAAATCTAGCCATACACATTTACCTGCTATATGATCTTAGGTAAACTACCTAATCAGGAGTAGCGAACCTGGGGCCTCGAGGCCACATGTGGCCCTCTAGGTCCTCAAGTGCAGCCCTTTAACTGAATCCAAACTTCACAGAACAAATCCTCTTAATGAAAGGATTTGTTCAATAAAACTTGGACTCAGTCAAAGGGCCATACCCAAGGACCTAGAGGGCCAGATGTAGCCTCCAGGCTGCAGGTTCCCCACCCATGATGTTCTAACCTCTCTCTGCTTCAGCTTCCTTATCTATAAACTGGGGATAATAACAGTACCCACTTCCCAGAGATGTCATAATGATAAAGTGAGATAATATTTGTGAATATTTGGTAAACCTTAAAGCACTATAAAATGCTTTAGAATTGGTGACCACAGAGTTGGTGAAGGGACTTGTCTCAGATCACACTGCTTTTTAGTCAAAGGTAGAGGCAGTATTTAAGCCCAAGCCTTCTAGTTCTTGGGGGAGTATTTCTTGACCATGCTATTTTATTGAATTTAGATTAGTATGTACCTTCTCTGGCATTATGGCAATCTCTGTTTTTATAAGGCTTAATGTCATTCCCTAAACCATCTAAAACAAGTTATATTTCCTCATGTCTCTCAGAAGCTCTTAAATTTAAAAATATATGGGTCCAATGTTGGTGAATGTATAGTTTTACCCCCCAAAAATTATGAACTAGGAAATCCATAAAAACATAATATGTAGCTATATAGTATATAAATAATGCTAACATTTTTGTTGTCAGTGATCTAAATTCTGTCATGCACATATGCTTATACTCAGATAGAAATGGATGGGGGTTTATTTTGGGATGGGGGGGGAGGTTTGATGTTTGCTATGCCTTAGTTGCACATAGCCAGGAAAAGTTAGATGGAAGAGACTGTATCTTAATCCCTTAAGATAAGACAGAGCCAATTCAAGTATACTAGATCTTGATAATTAAATGAGACATAATACCTAGAAAGGAAATAAACGTGGTTTTTTTTTTTTGGTTGAACTTAATTTTGCATTTAGCATACTGTTTCTAGTCCAAAAGAATTCACTGTGAAAATAAAAGAATTTCCCTTATTTCTTTATTTAACTGTGCTACCTTTAAGATTTTCTTGTATTCTGTCTCTTGCCCCTCCAGCATTCCGTGTTAAGATGGTCTAAAATGCTTAAGACAAGTTTGGCAGTGCACTTTTGTAGAAAGAATGCTTTATCTGAAAATTATGTTTAATAATACTAACACCTGGGTTTGCACCAAGCTGTCTGCAGCACTGTTACTGTGTGACGAATAGCTGTGTTCTTTCTTGTTGGCATGGAGGCCTGTTAAAGACAATATGGGATTGTGCTGGTGCTTGGCAGTTTTAGTGTTGAACAAGCCAGATTCCATTTCTTTCATAATTGGTCATCTTGGCATTAGAAAACATGCCGCTAGAAAACAGAGTTGGATGTCTAAACATGGTGTTGAACTCCCCCCACCCCCATGCCACCACCCCATATCCATGATTCCAGTTCTGTCGTCAAAGCTATACTTTCGGATTTTAATAGAAACTTGTCTAGGCCTTTCTATTTGGGTTGTATTCCTTTCCTACCCCAGGTCAATCCATATGGTTAAATAATTGCTATTTCTGGTCTGTGAGAAAGAATTAATATGAAAGACAATGATAAATGATTGTTTTTAAAAGTGTTGTTCTGATTTAATGAAAATGATGACTTTTTATGAATTTTAAAACTCCTCTATTTTGTGAAGCATTTTGGCTCTTAGCAAGCATAAGAATATGCCATGTGGGCATCCAAATTGCACTGATTTGGGGCAACATTGCCTCTATATGGTTTCTATGTGAAATTAACCCGAATCTACATGTATACCAACCTTTTTTGGTTTTCTTCAGTCTTTCTTACCTGGCATGTACGAGGGGCAATATTTTCTTAAGCTGTGTTTCTTATTGCTCTTTTTCTTTCCTTGCGTGAGAATTCTTCTTTGTAATCTTTTTTTCTTTTTGGCAGCTGTTAAGGAGAAAGTTTTAGTGTAGTGGCAAGATTTATAGTATTAACTACAGCAGTATTTTAAATTGTCTCCCATCCCATCCCCCACATAGATATTTTCTTACTTGTTGATCATAGTCTAATTATTTAGCATTAAAGGGAGCTACTTCTGGGTAGTGTGTAATTATATTTATAGTACGTTTTTATTAGTTTGCATTCCACCGCGGTAGTCTGATGATGTCATAAATAACCCAGCAAAACAAACAAACAAACAAACAAAATCTGCTGCTGGTGAAAACCTGAAATCTGTTTCTACTTTTTAAGTTGGTCTTTCTGGTGGGGATATGGGAAAATGTGGGGTTGTTTTTTAATGGAAGGCAATTTTTGTATTCATTTTGGAAAGTGTATGAGTGTGTGTGGGGGGGAGCGTGTGCACGCGTGTTGCTTAGTTCAGAAGTATCCTGTGAATATGATGTGATTTAGATTAATAGTAGCGCTGAGAGTGTTTGCTGCCCTAGTCAGCTGTGAGAGCTCGCCCGCTGGGGCAATGCCTTTCTGATGGAAAAAGAGCAGCTGGGAAGGTGCTGTTTCAGGCTCTTACTGTTTAAAAGAGAAGGGAGAGGGAGAGGGAGGGAAAAAAAAAAACAACCCAAGTCCAGAAGCTGGCATTGGAGAGGGAGAACAAGGTCATGTGGCTCTAACCATCCTACCCTCTGTCCCAGTGTGCAGAAGCTCTGATTCCTCTTATCCAATCATGCCTGGAATGCAGCTTGCCACTTGGGTTATTTCTGCTATCTGTCGCTATCGTTGGTGCAGTGCTAACAGTTTGGCAGATGGGACGATTTTTCTTGGAGTTTATGTCTTTGATTTTTAACTTCTGGCAGTGCCTGAATTGTTGTTGTTGTTTCCCTTTCCCTTCCTGCCCTCCTGTTAAACCATGGCCCATCGGCTGCGGTTTCATTTTGGCTCTGGTCGAAGCAACACAGCCCCTGAATCAGAGATCCTAGATCGAGAGAGAGAAGACGACTTTTTTATGGCATTCCACACTTTGCCAAGGAGAAACAGTCCTCACCCATTCTCTCAAAATGGAGCAGAGTATGGTGGCGGTAGTCTACAAGAAGTGGGATCCCTCAAACGAAGCACATCCATGTTTATCCCTCAGCTGCTGAATAACATTGATGCCCGTCCAACAAGGAGCTCATCTGTGCAAATCTCCCTGCAGCGCAAAGCTGTGAACGGACATACGGATGAGTGCGGGGCACCAGACTCTCTTGATGAGGACCTTCCCTATAAATTTTCAGACCTTAGGGAGAATTTTACTACACCAGTAAGTAGACCTTCTTCATCCCAAAGCAGCTCCCAAGGAACTTCAGAAAGAGAATCCCCCAGTAATTCTCCACCAAGGTTGCTTGATGATTTAGGACAACAGGTCAATGGATCTAATAATGCTTGCAGTCACAGAGTGTTTTGTACCATTCCTTCAGATACCCAAGGTGATGCTGTCCCCTCAGTTGCTCAGGCTTTAGAAGGCAATGAAAATGCTTCAGGCTCGAACATAACTGGAGTAAGAATTCAGCATCGTGCTTCGAGCGCAGAAATGCGTCAGGTTAGACTCCTGCCCTTTGGATCAGAAGTTCAGAACAACCCTTCAGCTCCTGAGCCCAGGCGTTGGTCTTTGCAACATGTGCCAGATGTATCTTCTAGTTCTGGGAAAAGGTGTTTTGTTTTCCAGTTGCAGCAACCCCAAGCAAGTATTCCAAGCCCTGGTGGTGATTACAATTTTGGATTTACTGGAACAAAGGGGGACAGATTGGTCAGGTATCCAAGAATAAGGCTAGAAAGGAGTACCTCTTATCCAGTCCAACCTCGACCTGAACGAGTTAGCCCAATGGAAGACAGAGTGAATTCAGAGCCTCCTAACAATAGCAGGAATTGTCCTGAAATACACAGGAGTAACTCAGTAGAAAGGATTCCACAGAATAAGGGCTGCACTTTCAAGATTAGGCAAGATCAGAATTCCCGACAACAACATTTTAGAATTCTTGTCACTCGTGGTCATGAAGAACCTCACCAGACTCTTGAAGAGAGTAGTTCAGACACACCTGCTTGTACAGCAGCAAACACTCTGGTAAGTTAGCCATTGAATGTGGTATGTTCCTATTTGAACATTAGATAAAAGTAATGGGTTCAAACTGGGAATGCATTTTTGTTTTTTGTTTGTTTTTTGTTTTTTTGGCATTGCAACTAAAAGGAGCTTTCTTCTACAGCATTTGAAATTTTCCTTTTCAAAGAACCACGTTACTCATAATTTCTAACCTCAAGTCGTGTTGTTCTTATGCTCTTGATGCGTACCTGTGGGTCCAGTATTTGGTTGGAATCATAATGTTATAATAAGACTGACTGATGTTTTGCAAGAAAATACTTATCAGTTAAGAAGTTTTGTTACTTATAAGTCTTCAAGTGCCCTTACCTGACTTTGTTTGAAGCAAATATGTCCATGTCCCCATTTTGGCGAAATATAATGGTTTCCCTTTTTCAATGCTTAAAAAGCAATTCTATCCTCTCCACCTAAAAAACAAACAAACAAAAAACCTGAAACTAAAAAACCAAACCTAGCCAAAGGTCACATGCTAATGTTGGAAAATCCATAAGGAACCTATTTGCAGCTTCATCCTGTGCTGGGCCTTTTTATCAAAAGTAATTTATGCTTTAAAGTGTTAGGAAGTAAGGAAATAATGATGTAGTTTCTCTTAACTAATTAAAATGTTTACATCAATACATGTCCCAAAGTTCTTTTCTGCTGTGTTAGGACTTGGTCTAGTTCAAATACTTTTATTTGTTTGCTTTGATTAATTAAGAAGTGTACTCCATGTGAATAGTAATGCAGTGCATGTGGTATGTTACTTATTTTTGAAGCAAAATAACTTTAGGGACCAAGCATGGGTAAAACTTTTATGGGGAATCATTAATTCTCAAGTTGCATTACAGTGCAATTTAACACTGCCCACTTGAGACTCCAGGCTCAATGATGCTGTATATAGAATAGTAAGTGCCCTATCTCCAGCTGTGAAAACAGACTCACTCACACAGACTCTGGCCCTTGCTGCCTGTGTGCGTTCCTGTTCTCCTAGGCTCTCCCTTTCAGTGAAATGTAGCACAGAAAGACAGCTGCTTACTTCACCCAGGCCATATGATGACTCTGCAGCTCTCATACTTTCTATCTAGCAGAACAAGTGATATGGAAACTTTAATCAGATTGATTTCTTTTGTTTATAACCACTGAATTTCAGTGCTTTCTAAAAGAATTCATTCCCTGTGTTTTGCATTATTATTATTATTTTGTCTTTCAGCATCATGTAGCATCCTTACCTTGCTAAAAAGCTTATGTTTCTGATGGTAAATGTAAAAATCTATCCATCTATAAAATCTGTCTATCTATATTTTTTTCAATGCTTTGCTCTACAGGTGATGCTTCCTTTCTGTTTTATGAGTTGTAACGATTTGTAACGTTAGCTTCATAAATAATTATTAGGCTGGTTGATATCCCAGCTCTACTGCTAAGCTCACTGTACCACTTTTTCAAGGGTGCAGCAAATGCTATCTCCTGGACGACTTTATTCAACTCCCCATCTTTGCTCTTTTCCCTCTCAGTCCACCCCACTCCCTTGTTTTTTAGTATCTCTGACCCCTTTCCGGTAAACAGCTGTGTGTTTCATCATTGCTTTAGCCTAATGTTATCCCTCATAAAGCAGTAGAACAACTACACAGAAAAGGGTTAGGAAGCTGCTGACATTTTAGAAGTATTTCCCCCAGATATGAATGCATCAGTGTAGGTTCAAAGTCTTCATGCCTTCCACAGTCGTCTCCAGTGCACTGCTTCACTTGGGTCACTCCTATCATAAGGATTTTTTAAAAAATATCCATAATCTTACTTTGACAACTTGTTCCCTAAAAAGACAATTTTGATCATTACCGTATTTCTGGCATCCAATTTGTACTACCAAAATGTTAGCTAGTTTTATAGTTTGACTTGGGCACAAAGGCATTTAAGCATTTTTAAAAATTATAAATAGGTTTCTAATTTAAGTGTTTCCGACTAAATTTATTTTAGTATGTAATTATCTTTGAAATATTTTTAATTAGAAACATTCGGGAGAATGGAGAGCTAAAAACAAAAGAACATTCTCTGGATATCTTGGACAATTAATTCAATGAGCCACTATTGAGGTCCATTGGCATTTTCTTTGACAGAAACATAGGTTATCAAGTAGAGCATATGAATTGGTTATTGGAAGCAACAACCCAAAGAATTCTAACCCTTTTATTTTTAAATTTCTCTTTGCTTTAGAAGCAGGTTCTTCTCTCTCCTTTCTGCTGCATTGCATGTGTTTGATGTGAGCCCAGCCTTAGAGTGCAGGCAGCAGCTGCCATAGCCTTATTTATCTTGAGGGGAAGCATTCATATGGGCGTCTACAGACTGACTGCCATCAAGCGTTTGTGATCTTTCAAATATCTTCTGTTTTACTGAGAAGGTTTTTTCAATCCAAGAATGGATTTCATTATGAGGTTTCGTGAACTATTAACTAGAAATGAGACTAGTACAAGGCCAAATTTATTCCATGAAGAATGTCTGGAAACTTTTTTTCTTAATTTGGGAATGATACTCAGAATTCCATCCACACACATGTATGTACACACACACACGTATGCATATGGGCATGTCTGTGTAAATGTGTTAATACATATATATAGATAGATATGGGCATCTATTCTTATACACATACATATGTATCTGCATATAGACATATATGTAGATATGTGTGTATTTATGTGTTCCTCCAAGAATCTTGGAGCAAATATAGTCCAACCCTCTCTTAATGTTAGTTTTAGTAAAGAATTGACATTTGCCTGATCAAGCTTTGACTAATTGTTGGTAGCTATATTTCTGGGGATCCAAAGTTAACATATGTATTTGTGTAAGGAACTATGATATAATCAACTGATACTAAACCTGGTTTTTTTCAGCAGTTACTCTCCACTCAATTGTTTCTAATGATTATACGGTCTCATTAGCCCCCTAATCTGAGAGGAGATTAAGGTTTTATCAATAGCTATTGGCTTCTTTCGCTTACCTCTTGTTAAGAATGTCTTGGGGGATTTACATGTTAGTTTGGTTTATACAAGGGGAAAGGGAAAGTTTGTTTACATTTCACACGATTAAGCTTAGTGTTTTCAAAATTTATTATGTTTGACATTGGTAGTACTTTGTCAACGATACATAATTTCGTGTACACATGACCACTCATTCTTCTTCCTGTCTTTTAAAAAAATCCTGTTATGTAAGAATCTACCCAGTATATATCAGGAATAGCAGCAGCAGCCGCAAATACTTAAGGGCCTGCTCTGTGTACTGCATAATACTAAACATTTGCAGAGTTGGATAGAAGGGTGTCAGATATGATGCTGGTTCTTACCCTCAAAGAGCTCAATATGTAAGGACCATAAAAATCAACTATTTAATCAAGTCCAGACTAAGGAGAAGAGCCTTTCCAGCCTTGTCTAATGTTTCTTGCCTAATCTGTAAGAGTCAAAGTGAGCTACTCACTTTTCCTTGTTTTTTTATTACCTTTCTCAATTTCTCATCTAATTTTTTTTTTGCTAATATTATGTTCCCAATTCTCAGATTCATTACCCTTTTACCACAGTATTATCAGTTGGAATTATTCCCATCTTTCAACTTCCAACATCTATTGCACTTCCTATGAATCCTTTCCTAAATCTTCCCCACTTTTCTCCAGATAGAAGTAAATTTCCCCTCTTAGTGTCTCACATAATATTTTGTATTTCTCTTGTGTATTTATATTCCAGTTTTTACTATAAATCAAGTAATATGGTTTTACTGACTGCTTTCATACAGTGAGCAAACGTGCTCTGTTCTTCCATCTCTTAAACTTTTGTCTTTCTTTCTCTTTCTTTTCATTGCTCAGCTTTTAGGTGGAATAATGCTCTCTTGTCATTGCAATCTATTTCTTCTTTAATCTGTTATAAGTCACAAGTACTATATGTCCAAAGCTGCCACATTCATTTCCCCCCAACCCTCCCTCACCCATATACTTATTTCTGTCAAGGACACTCAGGTTCATAGCCTCAGTCATTCTCTTCTCCCCATCGTTACCAGCCCTACATGTCCAATCAGTAAATTTCTTGTCAGTTCTTCCTCCCCCAAATCTCTTGAGCTCATCTTCCTTTTTCCATAAACACAGTTACCCTAATTCAGGCCCTCAGCATTTCTTACCTTAACTGTTGCTTTAAATAAGTTTTTGTTGATGTCTTCTGGTTTTTTTTATATCTTCATAATTATCCCCACTATCCCTTCTCTCCCTCTCCCAAAGGAGTCATCCCCTGCACACACATACACACACACACACACACACACACATGCACACACATATGTAAAGCTTTTTTTTTCAAGGCAGTCAGGGTTAAGTGTCTGAGTCTGGATTGGAACTCAGGTCTTCTTGACTCAAGGGCCAGTGCTGTATCCACTGTGCCACCTGGCTACCCCAAAAAGTACTTTTTAATGACAAAAAGAAAGAAATATAAAAGGAAAAAAATAAGCATTGAATTGTGTTGCATTGAAAAAGTCAGAAAACTTGTGCAATGTGTAACACCTGTGGATCTCCCCAAGGAGTGGGTGGGGATATCCTCTTTTTTTTTTCATCCAAGTCCTGCTTGATCTTTATAATTATTTCACTTTTGATCTTTTGGTGCATCCTTCCTTCCATTTGCGTTGTTGTAGTTACTGTGTATACTGTTTTCTTGCTTCTTTTTTTATTTACTTTACTTACTCTGCTTACTTCACTCTGCATCAGTTCATGTAGATCTTTTGATGATTCTCCACATTCATCACACACATCACATTCATAACTAAAGCATTCCTTCCTTAACTGTTAACAGTAGTCCCCTAATTGTTTTATCTGCTTTAAGTTTCTCCCCTCTCTAATCTATCTTCCACACCAGTTCCAAGGAGATATTTCTAATATTTAGTCTTTCCCCTGATCAGAAAGCTTCACTTCCTGCCCATTAATTCTAATACAAGGCAAGGCATCGAGTATTCGTTATCTATGT